TTTATTCATGTCCTTAGCTGCGTGACTTTGATAACTATGGATGCCAGTTTCATACTTGTATCACCCTGTCTCTACCAACTTACACCATGCCCGAAGAGGCAGATGAGGCAGAATCATGACAGTTTGATGCTTTTATTTTCTTTTCAGTACTTTGGATATTATCTGTGTGTGCTTTAGTGCCTAGTAACTATCGTTTTGGTATTTTCGTTTTTAATTATGCTTTGGCTTTTATCTTATCTCTCTATGACAATCATTTCTCTGTTATCCCTTGTGCGTTTTTGTGAATCTTTTATACATCAAAGAAGACCTACACATTGGGTACCAATTTTTCCCCTCGACTACATTGACCACCTATAGTAACAATTCGTGAACCTAACCTAAAATTCCCACGTGAGGACAATGTGTCTTTGAAGTGTGTGTGTATGTGTGTGTGTGTGTGGAAAGGTGCTCGGTTCTGTCCTTTCTCACAACATGTTTACTATGAATAAAAGTGGGGTGTAGTGTCTAATGCAAACATGTTGTGGTAACCTGTTCTAGAGTAACGAGAGTGCCTTTTTGGGACAATGTACATGGAGATCGGATATATTTATCACTTCAATTTTCATATTTTCACTACTTCCATCCTCATACGAGGTATAGGTAGGAGAATTTATCCCTTCTTGCCTGGCTAACAAGCACACAACAATAAGTGCCTGAATGCACATACTCATCTAAGGATGAAAGGCTAATGTAATGATTAAAGATCCCCTTAAGAATTAATATAAATGAATAAAGTTTGTTGAGAAAGTGAAGAAAGAACCGTGTGAGTACTGATCCTTTCACCTAACTTTGAGAGTTTTGTTTTGTACCTTGCGCCTATCTCCATTCATTTCAAGACTTGCTTTCTCCGATTTTCCAAATTGAGCCAAGCAAGGGTGGTCACTAGAACCCTTGATCTGACAAAACATATCGAGTGAAGAGAAATAAGAGGCTTTGAGCTGCATGGTTTGTTACGTGTTTGCTTACCGACAAGCAAACGCCTAAGTGTGGGGTTGTTGATAACCCAAAAATGAATTATTTAGCCTTCATGTATTAGGTGTTTTGTTGCTATTTTGGAGCATGAATTGGTCTTTAAAACATTATTTGTAGCCTAGATTGTTTTCCTAATTTGTTGTCATGTTGTTTTAGGTTACACTCGACATTACAAGCGAAAAAGGGGAGAAAATTAGGGCTAATGTGTAGGAAGGAGTGAAAAGAAGCAAATGCCATAAAAATAGGTGAGAAAGTAGGCAATGGAGTCGAGCCGAGAGATCGCGAGCCAAAGCCATAAGATCAAAACCCCGATCCTATGACCCATAGGCGCGATATCCAGAAGGAAGCGTAAAAGAATGAATAGAGAGTTTCACTAGGCGGATCACAAGCCATTCATAAGGAAGTCGTGATAAAGATCACAAGTGTGAAACAAAGTTTGTGTTCGCTAACTCAGAGCACGATCTCTCGCCCTGCAGAGACTATACGATGAAGCTGAAAATCGCGGGCTATCATGGCTAGATCACAACCATGATCTTTTAGCCCTTGGTCGTGAACTTGCCCGAGTTTTCCCAGGCCTATCAATAGAAGAGTTGTTGCATTTTTCATTGAGATCTGACTTTGAGAGAGAATAGGTTTTGGGTTGTTTTTAGAGAGACAAACACCTTATGAGAGCTTAATTGAAGATCCAATCCACCCAAGGACTAAGGAGAAGGTGCAAACAAAGGAAAAGAAGATGATTTCTACTAGTCTACAACTGAGTCCACAGAACTCGGTTGAAATTTTAGGGTTAAACTGGGAGTGCCTAGCTAATTAGGGCTAGATGAATGATCTTAGGGTTCCCTTTTATAGACAAGGCAACCAAACCCCTGCTAGAGGAATGCCTTCCTAAGACAATGCCAAAGATGATGCAAGCGGCACCGATCCATTGCTTTGGTGTGCATGATAGGTTGAACCTATTGAGAGGAACTAACACTTATTCCTTAGTACAATAGCTTTGAATGAGGTGGCAATGGGTCTCTGGGAGCGTACTAGGTGGAGGCGGAGTAATCATTGAAACCCTTATTGTAGCGAGTTTCGCACCTCATCAGCAAACCCCAAACTATAGCTAGAGGACATGAATCCTAGGCAACCATCTACTTCTAGTAGTCTCCTAACCACTTCATTGGTTGGTTATTATTCTGATTTTAGATAGGTTAGATTAGATACTTGACTCAACCTTCCAATTTGATTAGATGGTAGTTCGGAGCAATGTAATAGGAAGCTTAGGGTTCCCTTGAAATACGACTGAACCACTTTACTACATCCCTAACTTCGTTATGCTTGGCTTTGTTAGGATTGACTAGTGAGTGTGCTTCGACTTATAAATTTAAAGCTCGATCCAATGCATTAGTTTTCGCTTCGAAAAAGTAGGTATCGCAAAACACAACTAGCTCATCTTTTCCAAAAAAATGAATGTATCAACGACGATCCCTACTTTTCCGTCGAATAATAGTGCCTTTAGTGACGAAATATATTTTGTCGCCAAATTTTTCGTTGCAAAAGGTATGTTTTTTGTAGTGAGGCTGGGGAAAAAGTTTATCTTTCGTGAGGAATGGGGAAATTCATAAAATAATTAGCCAAAAAAATAAATAATAAAATGTGTAAAAGAACCATATGTTGAAACACAATAGGTTGTTACCAGGAATGTAGTGAAAACCGAACCAAAGCATGATTCAGTGATGTGAACGGCTCACAACTACATACAAATACAAATTACATAGCAAACCAATAATACTTAGTAAAAAACATTAAATACACATAAACTGGTACGCATATAGAAGTCTTAAACTGTAACACAAAGCAAATATGCGTACGATAATACACACCTACATAAATTATTCAAAGCGTGAAATAAAATCACTGATCTCCCAGTAACTCTTGGATTTTCTTTTCATACAACATTTTGTGTGTGTCTGTCATCGTTGATAGATCCATTTCCATCAATTTCATAATTAACTTATCTCTCTTATATGCTTCTTTCTTCCTCTCACGTTCCTCTCTTTTCCTCTCTCGTTCCTCCTCCAGTCTTACCTTTGCAGCCATGAACTCTTTCAATGCCTCTACCTTTCCTGCTTCAATACTAATTTTTTGTTGCACTGTTGCTTGCATACTTTCCACAGAATCAGATGACATAGATGATCTCTTACCTTTATCCTTTGACGCTTTTCTTCCTGGAGGACGAGAATGAGAAACGACCTCACAATCTCCGGTGGGAGGCATGCTTGTGTTAGAGGATGATGAAGTATATTGGCCTGAAGTAGTATTCTTATTCCTTTTTGATCCTCTATCTTCATCACCATGAGTTGCTTTGGATTTGGATTGACTAGACCACTTCTCCTCATCCTTTAAAGCATTCCAAGCATGCATGAAAATAAATTTTTTACCTGTGATTGTCTCGCATAACTCTACTACTCTGTTCTTTTCATCTTCCTCGTTGATGCCACTCTCTCTTCGATGTTGGACTTGTTCATAGCAACCAACGAACTTTGATACATCTTGGTTGATTATGGTCCAATGAGTCATAATTGCTTGTTTACCCCTCTGCACTTGAGAGTCTTTGTCATGCCATTCCTCGTAATACTCTTGAACGCGTTTCCAAAAACAGCTCAGATTTTGATTAGTACCAATTGTTGCATCTTTGCTGATGTTGAGCCATGAGCTACACAACAGAAGGTCGTCAGTTTCTTTCCAACGAACTTTTCCTCGGCTGCTACTTGGTTCAACTTGTGTGGACCTTTCTTGACTACAATACCCAGGAAATGGAGAATCTTGTTCAGTAGGCATACTTGGAGTGGCTGGATATGGGCTTGGTAAGGGTTGAGTTGTTGGATAGTTTTGCTGGAAATATGTGAAGTTAGGGTTTGGATACATGGGCATTGCGAAATTACCCGCATTTGAAAAGAATGGATGGTTCATGTGGGAATTTGGGAATGGATTGCTAGCACTTTGTGAATTTTGTGTATTATCAGTAGGCACATAATTGGATGAACCGGGTGAGAAATTGAAGTATGGGTTGAAGGGGGGGTGAGATGGATCCATAAGAGAAAAGACAAGAAGGTAGTTATGGGGGAGGAATGATAAACTATCTAGATGACTTGCCTATTTATAAAATCACAGGCTTATCTCAGAAATGTAGCTCAACCAATAGAAAAGCCCCATCTTACCTACCTTATCTTATTATCTCATCTCAACTCTGCTTTAGACCAACACCACACAACCCTTTCTGGCACTTTGCAGAGAAAAATCCTACCCAACGAATAGAAAAACTCCATTTTACCTACCTTATCTCATCTCATCTCTGCTTTAAACCAACACCACACACCCCTTTCTGTCACTTTGCAGAGAAAAATCCTACCCAACCAATAGAAAAGCTTCATCTTACCTATCACATCTCCTTATCTCATCTCATCTCATATATGCTTTAAACCAACACCACACACCCCTTTGTGTCACTTTGCAAAGAAAAATCCTACCCAACCAATAGAAAAGCTTCATCTTACCTACCTCATCTCTTTATCTCATCTCATCTCTGCAACCAACACCACACACCTCATATCTTCTTATCATCTCTCCCTCATCTGAAAAATATGCTCCATCAATAAATATAGCTACACATTGATGTCTCAGCCATAATCCTCACAACATGGATAATATAGAGATGAATTTTTTATCCTCTTCTTCCACTTCATCTTCCTCATCTTCTTCCGATCCTGATCCCAATAACCCTTTTTCTGATGAAAACATTGTTCAATGGTTTCTTGATGATTCACTATCTGAAGTTGTGGATCAATATGTTTAATTGCAATAACAAAAACTAGCAGATGAATCCTCTTCATCTAGACGTAGAAGAAAGCCAAGAAGGTACATTGAAAGGGGTCGTGAAGATGGACACCAACAAATGTACAATGATTACTTTGCCGAAAATCCAAGATTCCCAGAAGATAAGTTTCGACGAAGATTTCGCATGAGAAGAAACTTATTTCTTCGCATTGTTAAAGGTGTCATGAATCAAGATTCGTTCTTCCAAAGCAATCATAATGCCACGGGCAGATCAAGCCTCTCACCCCTTCAAAAGTGCACAGCAGCAATTCGAATGTTAGCTTACGATGTGGCTGCAGATGTTGTTGATGAATATCTGCGAATTGGTGAGTCCACTACAACATTATGTGTTAAAAAATTTGTAAGAGCTGTCAATGTTGTGTTTGGTGACGAGTACCTAAAGAGGCCCAATGTTGCTGATGTCGAACGTTTGCTCCATGTGGGAGAGCAAAGAGGTTTCCCCAGTATGTTAGGAAGTATTGATTGCATGCACTGGAAATGAAAAAATTGTCCGGTAGCTTGGCGTGGGCAATATGCTAGAGGGGATCATAAAACCCCAACCATTATGCTTGAAGTTGTTGTTTCACAAGATTTGTGGATATGGCATGCTTTCTTTGGTGTTCCAGGTACACTGAATGACATAAATGTGTTAGATCGGTCTCCTGTCTTCCATGAAGTGTTAGAAGGGAAAGCACCAAAGGTTCGATTTTCTGTTAATTGAAGAAACTACAATTTGGGATATTACCTAACTAATGGTATTTATCCCAATTGGGCTACTTTCGTCAAGTCAATTCCATTACCTCAAGGACCAAAACACAAGTTATTCGTAATGAAGCAAGAGGCAGCTAGAAAAGATGTTGAGAGAGCATTTGGGGTGCTCCAAGCACGTTTTGCTATAATCAGTGGACCATCACGCATGTGGTGTAAAGACATAATCGTTGAAATAATGAGAGCATGTATAATTATGCACAACATTATTATGGAAGATGAGCGAGATACATATGTTCGTCAGTTTGATTACACAGATGAAGACGTGAACTTCGAAGTCTCGATGCCTACAGTTTCTCAAAATCATCTCCCGGAGTATGATGAGTATCTTAGGAACCACACAAGGATTCGTAATAGGTCAACAAATAATCAACTTCAATCCAATTTAATAGAAGAGATATGGAATCGATTCGGAGACGAAGGGTACGATGATTAATCTAGCATCATTTCTATGTATTTGTATTAAGTGTGTTTATTTGCAATAGTAATTGTGTTATTTACGTGTGTTTATTTGAATTGTGATTGTGTTGTAATTTGTCATTTGAATATTGTACTTGTGACTTTAATAAAAGTTTCATGTATTTTTATTAAAGTCTACCCATTTTAAATTCCATTATTTATTTTTTTTAATCAATGAATAAAGCTATAATATATTTTTTAATGAATTAGTAAATTTATTTCATCACTGATAATTAAATAATTACAATAGATTATTTTAATTATTTGATACATCTTAAATTGGTAAAATCATATAGGTTAGATATAAATATATAGATGTATTAAAAAGTAAGCTGGACCCATCATATGAAATAGATAGTGGATTTCATTGATGTAGAGGAAATGAAAGTGATATGTAGTGAAATAGAAAAAGCTGTTGATGTGGCAGTAGGGACCACATATGGAATATAAATGGTATTTCATGGATGTGGATGGTCTAATAGCTGAAATTTGTGTTAACACTATACTTACCAAAAATGTTTTAGCACCCTAGTCCTGACAACCATCGTATCATATTTACTTGAGTTATAGGTATAATATGCCCCTCTACTATGACGTTTTATCAAACATGCCCCTCTCATGGTCCAAATTTGTTTAAAATGCAAGAAAATGTTATACACACAGGAGATACTTTGATAACCAGTAGGGAGAAATTGAGATAAGACACATAGAACATAGTTATGCAGATCGACTCACTAGTTCCGCAACAACACAAGACTCACTAGTTCCGCAACAACACAACTTTAAGGCTGAGTAATGCCGAAATAAATGGTCTCGTGTGCTCAACAATTTGATATGCCCCATTAACATGAATAATGACCGGCCAATTGCCAATGGCCACAGACGTTACCTGCCCATAGACCCATTTTCCATTTATTAATTACAGAGTAGTGATAGCTCAAGCTGCTTCATCAGCTTGCCACTAAGCTAGCTAGCAGATCTCTAGAGTCCTCTTTCACATGTCTGATCTTTATCTCTCGTAGCCAAGCATTTTGCACCTTCCCCCTCTCTCTTTTCCCCTTTTGCTTGGCTTTTCAGCGATAAAATAATTGCTATCACAGTAGCCAAGTACAATGTCATTGTAGTTCCACTTCAGTGGCAAAGGTAAAAGGCCTCATTCATAATGCTGGTTATGTAGTTCCACTTCAGTGGTAAAGGTAAAAGGCCTCATTCATAATGCTGGTTATTTGGTCCGGCATTTTTGGTTTTATCTGAAATCGAACGGTATAACTCGGACTAAGATCGGATTGGGACTAGATAGTAAACAATTCAATCCAATTTTTTGGCCTAGATTTGAGATAAAAAAAAACCGTTTGAGACCGGATCGGAAACCGGATAAGAGAGCCCAACACCCAAAATTTAACCTCCTCACCCTTTCAGGCCTTAGGACACTCAAATCCCCCCTCAGGATACTCAAATCCCCACAAGCTCAATCTAAAATCAAGACCGAATTGGGACCTGACCGGATCAAGACCGGACTGTATCCAATCCAATCTCTGATCCTTATATTCTCGAAAAGACCGGACCGAAACCAAATCAATTTGGGCCAATTTAACTGGACCGAACCGTATAGCCGCCCCTACTCATTCAGCACTCTTTTACGAAACAACTGCCAACCCACCAACCATATTTCGTAACTAATCCCCGTGGCATCATTTTCTACTCTCATATCCCAGACCAGATGTGTAGCCCAATTACTTCTATATATATATATATCGCCTTACATGCAATGGACACACACCAATTAATTAGCAACATGATGCTGAGAAATTTCTACTCGGTAATGGTCATAACCACCACTTGTGTCTCAGTAGTAGTGTTCCCAGTTATTAGCAATGCAGCAGGCGCTCCAAAGAAGAAATCAGCACCAGCAATCTTGGTGTTTGGAGACTCCATTGTGGATCCCGGCAACAACAACCATGTGGCCACCATTGTCAAGTGCGACTTCCCGCCTTATGGGAGGGATTTCGTCGGTGCGAAACCCACTGGAAGGTTTTGCAATGGGAAAGTCCCTTCTGACTTTGCAGGTATACATATATATATGCTAATTAGCTAGTGCCCTCTTTGTTTCAGTCCGGCTACAGAGTGCTTTATTTTTTGCACTTACACAACCAAAAACGAAATATGTTGCAGCCAACATTCTAGGGTTAAAGGAACTAGTGCCTGCCTATCTTGATCCGACTCTGACGCTTCAAGACCTCGCCACCGGGGTAAGTTTCGCTTCAGGTGGTTCGGGCTATGATCCTCTAACGGCCAGGATAGTGGTAAGCTTGAATTGCTACTGAATTTAGCTGATCTCTCTGTTTTAGCGAACTAACCACTTGGTCCCAATAACTCGAGTTGTTGGGAAAATGATAGTTAAACCTTTTAACTTCTTATACGCCCCCTCAAACGAAAGCCGATGCCGAATTGTGGATTTTTACGGTTTGCACAGGTTGAACCCTTGTGCTGCCAAACCACGAGGCTTTAGTTTGCACAGGTTGGACATACCATTCCTTGTGCTAAACGAATTGGCATGAAATGAGGATCGTTATGAGGATTCGAAACCATGACCTTTCGGTTCTAGACTCTGATACCATGTTAGCGAACTAAGTAACGTCTTAATTACCTGCCTTGTTTTTTGTTGGAGGGAAGTCTGTTCTGTCGCTATCAGATCAGGTGGAGCTGTTCAAGGAGTACCTAAACAAGATAAGGCAAGGAATGGGGGAGGAAGCAGCAGCCACCATAATTTCTCAAAGTGCCTACTTGATATGCGTAGGAAGTGATGACATTGCCAACACCTACTTCTCCACGCCTACTAGAAGGCTGCATTACGACATCAACGCCTACACCGATTTGATGGCACGCTATGCGTCAACTTTTTATGAGGTTTGTTTCAACATGCTTCTCTTTTAGGTGTGACAAATGGGTTTATGGCAAGGGGGATGGATTGTTTGATAATAGCTAAAACAAGGGTCTCATATGCTATATAATTAATTGTTTTATAATACGAACTGAGTTGACAGAATATAAGCTAGATTGAATTTTGGACGAGTCAGCTAACCACATGAGCTATAGGTACAAAATTGTGAGATCATAACATAGTTAAACACTTAGGTTCGTATGGATCAAGGTTTTCCCTAAATGAAAATTTGTGTCGAATTTTGAGATTTTGCAGATGATGGATTTGGTTCATTTGAGATTTCCAATAAATTGTTAATTGGATTTTTTTTATAGACGATGTTGAATAGGATTTATAGACTTAAAGTTTGATTTATCCTACAACCTCTAAATTATTTTATGATTTTCAATCGATTGTTTTTTTTTTTAAGGAAACAATCTAAGAAATTACCGGAAAACAAAGATTTTAAAATATTTTATATTGTATCCTTTCATAACTCAAATTTTATGTTTTGATTTTGAGTTGCAAATCGAAATTTTTATGGCGAACAATTTAAATGAAATTTTAATATGGATAAGAAAGGTTACTAATTCATTAGACGACATACCCTGGGTTCTAGTGTTTGTATTGCTTATTATACAAAGTTGCAGATTCATCGACCATTTTTGGAAAAATTTCTCATTGTAGTGATCGGTTTCAATTTCATGGAGATGCTAAATTATTAATTAGGGAAAACATGGAATAAATCAAATCCATTGACTTATGAGACTCAATTAGTAATAAAGATTTAGTTCATTCTCCCAAATGTTACCAATTTATAAGGGAAATTCAAATCTGAGCAGCCAACGAATTTGATACTTACTCTTTGCATATTAAATTTGAACAATTTACCTGAGTGTTGAATTTAGGGTCCAAATACATTATCAAAATCCTTCATTGAAATGACCCCTTAATTTACCTTCAAGCCCAAATGTTTATCTAGATATAATATATAAAAGGTTAGATACTAGCACGAAAATTTTCAGTAGTGAATAGTGATTTTCCAAAATTCTATCAACACAATGAATATGGGTCATAGTATTTTGGTTTATATAATTATATGGGTTTTACGTGGAAGGTGTGTTGAATGCAGTTAAACTCGTGATTCTACCCAAAAACAAAAATATGGACAAAAGTGTAAAGCATATAAACTAATTTAACACGATTCTAAATAGAGCAAACTCATAAAATCTTAACCAGAAGTTTATTATAAACATAAATTGTAACTCATAAGCGAGTTTAAGAATACAAACTCTCACAGACTAGTTTAACTTTACATAATAAGAGAAGAGTTTAAGGATCCAAGTTCTCAAAATCAGAGCACACAAATGTTATAAAGGATAAAAATAAAACTACATGAATAAAATGGCTTCAACATTTGCATTCAAATCATGCTCAACGTCACCACTACCATCAAATCCACTATAATATCCATGATTACCATCATCTCTTCGATCGTCATCACCAGTAACATCATCACCCTCCATCATCAACAATAGGAACAACAAGATCCGTTTCAATAACATATGGTCCCTTCCTCACCATCAACGCCTAAATCTTCAACTTGTTCTTCTTCTTCATTGTCGATAGCACAGATCCATTAATTTTCAAAGCCCATATTTTTTAAGTAAATTTCAAGCATTCTTGATTGCTTGGCATTTAGCTTGTCGTTGTACATGACATACATAAGATCGTTCATCTTTTGTGCTAGAAAACTGTTATTTTTCTTAGTATGAATTTAAAGAAAAAAATTCACATGTAAAAGAATGAATGGCGAATAAAATATTCTTGTAAACTTATAACCAACAAGCATAATATAATTAAAAGAAAGTAGATGTTCGGTACCTATACCAGCTTATTCACAAGAGGGCTCCGAATTTCAAATTTCTCCTTGTTTTGGTCAAGTTAATATATTAAACAGGAAAATGAATCCATATTTGAGAAACTCCATTCTCGATATATTTAGCGCCATGATTATGAAAATACCACTTCGTTAGGGAAAGTGCATCTTGGTTGTCGTGTCTAGTGCATTCAAAATCATATGTGTGTAGTTAGCATAAGCCTGAATTACCTTTGCTAAAGGTTGTTGTTTTTTTCTATTCTTTTCGTTTTGTGGAAGACAGGAACTTTATCGAATTGGAGCAAGAAGAATTGGGGTACTGAGCTTACCACCAATAGGGTGTCTACCATCACAAAGAACAAGCGGTGGAGGGCCTAACAGAAGCTGCTCAAACTCTTCTAATCAAGCAGCCCAGCTCTTCAACTCCAAGCTCTCTGCAGTCCTTGATTCCCTAAGCAAAACGCATCCCGACGCGTTGTTCGTGTACTTGGATGTCTACAATCGTCTTACTTCCATCATCCACAACCCTATTCGATATGGTAAACAATTCCATCAAGTCTTAATACCCAAATATCAGAGGGGATAAAAAAAAAAGATGAAAGAACCATTTTCCTTCCTCATTTCATTTTGGTTAATGGGGTGGGTTTGGTGCAGGATTTGAAGTGGTAGTAAAAGGATGTTGTGGGACTGGGACTATAGAAGCCAGCATTTTGTGTACTTCAGTCAGCGACTCACACACATGTAAAGATGCTTCTAAGTATCTCTTTTGGGACAGCTACCATCCTTCCGAGAAAGGTTATGGCATCCTCAGCGACATGGTCATCAACGAATTCGCTGCCAGATTCATGTGACAGTTCTCTTTTCCCTTCTATATATGACCAATCACCAAATTTTAGGGTCAAATAAATGTTAAGAATTGTGACCACGAATTTGCCATTCCTCCTCCCAAGTATTTTGGAGGATAAGTACACGTCATTTTAACAGGATTATGTACTATTAAAATTGAAGCAAAGAAATGTAGAATTCCCAGCTACAAGTAGCTTTTGTCTGTCCTGTGGGATCCAGTCCAGGCACCATATACTAACTCGTATTATATAGGGTTAGTACTTAATACGGCGAATTTTAATCTTGACTATTAAAAATATATAATGATTTATCGCAAGACGCCCTCAGATTGCAGTTGTTTCCCTTTTGCTCATATTCATGAGATGGTTAATTCATTCTTATTGAAATAATTGTCACAAGTAGAATCACATTCAATCCAACTATCAATTCACGAAGCATAAAAATTTCGAGAAAATACGTTCATTATATGCGAGTAGCACCATATTTCAAGAAATTTTGACATGACCTTCGTTAAAATTCAACAATCTCAAAAAGTTGAAAGCATTAGAAGCACAATAAGCACCCATAAATCACTAGTTAGAGTCGATCCGCCCTGGGGCGGGGCATGGGTATCTACTTCCGACCCGCCCTGCCCCGCCTCACCCCGTTCTAGACTCATTTTATCTCAATTTCTTACAATATCTATACATATTTCTCCTATTTTGACTTTTCTTCAACTAGTTAGAGTCGATCTTTCAACCTGTTAGGCTCAATTATCCATTCTATTATCAATATTTTTCATTCTTAAAGTGTTTTCCCTACGTTTTATTGTAAAAAGTAAAATTTACTTGTATTTTTTTTTGAACAACATGTAAGAGTGGGTCGACCCGCCCCGCCCCATACCCGCGCGAGTTTTACCCGTCCCGACCCGTAATAGCGTGGGGGCGGGGCATGGGAATTGAGGTACCCGCCCTGCCCTGCCCCATTGCCATCACTATCCGTGTGGTATATGTTTATTGTATAACAAAACCAAGTCCATAGATATAGTCAGATAAATTAGTCGATTTGTTAAAAGAGGGGAATAATCGATAAAAGTTAGTCTGATACCCAAAATAATCTCCATTTCTCCACGAATTCACGAACAACACAACATGCAACCAACTACCAACAATACAAGACTATAATCGAGAATGGAGAATAAGCAAATAATTAAAAGCGGGCGCCTCCACTTATCGAGCCACTTTTGTATTTTGATGTTATTGCCATCGTAGGAGCTGTGACATACAACGATGTTTGTCTGGTAATAGGTCACTCTGCCTCTGCGTTATCTTCAAATCTCTTTCCAAATCCATCTCTTCTAAATTTACACTAACAAACCTATTGTATTCGAGATTTATAATTTATTTAACACTTTATTAACTTTCTATTATGCGTGTTTTTGTTTTTGTATGAGAAGAAACACAACATCACTACTTAATTACAATATAATTATATTTAATGTGAAATTTTTTTGGGTATCCACAACCAATCCGCACCGGGTTGTGGTTAACCACTACCCACTGCGGGGCGGATTGTGAATATCATAATTCTACATTTGTGGGTGTGGTTACCCGCAAAATGTGGAACGGGTAACCACACCCACCCCAATTTCCACCCCTATCTCCACCACCCTAGTCCCCCCCGATTCAACACCACTCAAAAACCCATCTCCACCTCCTCTTCCACCGATGGGGCTCGCATCTTCCATCACACATGTCCTCCTTTTTCCCCCAATTAAGTGAGAATGAAGCAAATTGGCCCATGCTCAATTTCTTTTGTGGATCTCGATCTGGGATAGTGGTACAAACGATGGCGATGCCAAGCGGCGGAGGAAAATTACAGCCGCACCCAAATTCGCCGCCGCCCAAATTGCAGCTCCCAAATCCGCCGCTACCTTGAATATCCACCGCCCCCAAATCATCATCCAAATCCCCCTTTCTCTAAAACCCTTTCCGGCTACGGCAACTCCCAAACCCAGTCGATGATGGAAGAAACGCGAGTGGCAGCGTCGAGTAAGAATCAAAGCTGCATCCTGCAAGAGGGACAGTGGTCGAAAGAGAAGGCTTCAAAATCAAAACAAAATTCGATCTTTGACGAGTGAAAATTCGATTCAAAAGTGTCGACCTTAAATTCATTTCGCCTTAGTGCTTTCTTTGCTTCCCTAGTCAAAGTCTTGCCCTAGTTAAAGCCTAGCGAGGAAAGATGCGTCGGCGTGGAGGGGTGGTCGCGGCGAGGGAGATTTTCGGTGGGGAGAGAGGGAGAACGCGATGAAGATGAGCGGCTGTTGGGAGAACGGAAGGGGAAAGAACCGAGAGGGAAGAGAGAAAATAAAGAAAAATGATTTTTTATTTTTTATTTTTTCAGTTAATTCCACCTCATATTTTTATGGACTAAAAGATTGACACATCAGCTTTTCTGTTAGTCTAGTCAGCACGTTATTTCACACCGTCAAAGAATTGGACGGAAGTGGCTATTTTTGATATTTCGCCAAAAGTGGCTATATTTGACCAAACCGTCAAAGTTTTGGCTATACAAGTGTAATTTGCCAAATACTAACTACAAAACATTAAACAAGTCCCAAAACTAGCTACTAACTACTAAAATACTTTTTTAAAAAAAACCTTTTGACAGATGAGCATAGGCGGAGGGAGGCCCATTGGGCCTTGTCCCGGGATAGAGGTAAATTTCGGAGGAACAAAAATCTGTCATATATATGTATATTGGTGATGCAAAACAACGCCTATATGTAGTATTAGAGTATTTTTGTCACTACAGCACAACTCATTACTTATTCATAAATTGACATAAACTTAATTTATTATACTATAAACGAATTCTAATTGCAATAAAGACCTAATCGGATCTCTTTTCTCCTTTTGCCTATTCGATTTTTTCCCAACAACCCTGAAATTGTCTAGTGACATCGACAATTCCACTAGTTTTGATTCTACGAATTACAATTGCAAATGTAAAAAGAGCATTTTCAACTTTGAGTTATATTAAGAACAAGTTTTCAAGTCGATTTGGCAACCAATTTGCTAATGCTAATTTAGTGAGATACATTGAAAAATACTTATTTAATAGTGTAGACGACGAATGTTTTTGCGTTTCTTTCCCAATATGAAATCTCTCCGTGGTTGTTAAAAACAATGATTGTATAGTCGGTTATTTATGAATGAATTATGCAGATATAATTAATTTTAATTAAATATTTATATATTTATATTATGAAAAGAGAACAGGGGTAGTTTGAAATGCTGGCTCCGCCACTGCAGATGAGTACCGTTTTTGTAATTTAAGTGTTTAGTTGTTGTGTTTTGGTGAATTTTTTTTTTTTTTTGACAAAAGATATTATGTATTGATAATAAAAGGATAGTTACACCCTGGAGTTCAGCCAGGCCTGAAAATCAAAGTTACGATCCATGATCGGGTACAAAGAGAGGGCTTTCCTAGCCACCAAATGGGCTACCCTATTACTACGCCGACCTACAAATCGAACAGCCAACCCTGGGTGAGTGCGAAAACACATTAAGACCTCTTCCAAAACAGCACCCACCCGATTGTCTCTGGTCTCCCCTTGGTTGATTTTATCAATGACTACCTTTGCATCTCCCTCGAATACGACATTAGTGAAGCCATTCGCCAGACACCAAGAGACCGCCTCCCTAAGGACCAGAAGCTCTACCGTCATCGGATCTCCCACATTAGGGACGTGGACCCCTTTGACAAAAATGATCTCCCAAGTAGGGGAGAACAGGACCATCCCACCGGCTGAATGAGAACCAGGCCGAACCGCCCCATCCCACATGCAAACGGCCCTCCCCGCTACATCGATCCTCACACCCTCTTCCATCGTCCCCAACGAACGGGAAACCTCATCCCTCGGCAAGCGCACCCACTCTTCGTATTGCTGGTTAAACTGGCGCATTAGGGCCGGAAAACCAAACTGTTTACCCTCAAAAACCACCCAATTTCGTGAACGCCAAATCCGCCACAGGATGGCCACCACCGCCATGAACAACTGGGGCTGGTCAATCAAGCCCATCACCTTTTTAAGGAACAGCGGGAAAGTGTGCCGGGGTAGACCCTCCCCTACATAATCCAGCCCAGAAAACTCCCATAAAGCTCGCGCCACCGGGCAATCAAGAAACAAATGTTCCATCGTTTCCGATTCAGCCCAGCAAACCGGACACCTAGGGAGCACCGGAACATCCCGGGTAATAAGGCCCTCAGTAGTAGGCAAGATTCGATTAAGAATCTGCCAGACAAAGACTTTCAGGTTAGGGGGAATCTTAGTCGTCCATAACCGGACCCAGCTTGCTTTATCCATCCAGCTCACCGTAGCCTTCCTTCCCTCACACCGCTTGTCCACATTAACCGCGAGATGGTACGCCGATTTAACCGAGAACACTCCATCCGCTGTCCCATCCCAAATTAATTTATCCTCCATATCACGACGGGGCAGAGGAATTTCTTTAATGGCCCGACAAGTGGGCGGATCGAACCATTGCCTGAGTTTGTGATCATTCCATCGACCCTCATTTTGGCAAATAACGGTCGCCACCGGTGGGTCACCACCTTCCGGAATGATCACAGGATTAAAGACCGGTGGGTCAAGTTGGCGTTGGGGGATCCAATTGGAATTTAGCAGCGACGCTGATTTTCCATTACCAATTTGCCACCTCAGTCCTTTCTCTAACAACTGCCTCCCGAACAGAATGCCTTGCCATCCCCAGGAAGGCCGAGAGCGGGCCGAAGCTTGTAAGAATGACCCCTTTGGAAAATACTTCCCTTTATAGACCTGGGCCAGCAAGGAACTCGGCTCAGTCAAGATGCGCCATCCAACCTTCGCTAGGAGAGCCTGATTAAATTGTTCGAATCGCCGAAAGCCCATCCCGCCCTCATGTTTACTCCTGCACATATTCCGTCACGAAATCCACCGAATCTTAGGGTGGCCTTCCACATCCCCCCACCAGAACCTTGCCACATATTTGTCCAGAAGACGACATAAAGAAGCAGGAAGCTTAAAACAAGACATAGCATGCAGAGGCAGGGCCAGTGCTATCGATTTGATTAGGGTCTCCTTCGCCGCCCAAGATAGCGTCCTTTGCTTCCAGCCCTGGAGGCGCTCAAGCAGTTTATCCTCCAGGAACCGGAAGGTAGCCGTTTTTTACTGAGCAACCAGGGTAGGGAGGCCCAGATACTTATCCTGGACCCCGACTGCCCCCACCCCCAGCACTACCGCAAGGAACTCCTGGTCCTCTTACACAATATTCTTGCTGAAGCAAACCGCAGACTTTGCCAGGTTTATCTTCTGCCCACTTAGCTCCTCATACTCATTGAGGACCACCATCAGATTCTCGCATTCCTGGAGGGTTCCCTGGTGAATCGATATCATAATACTCAACATTTCGCGAACAATATGCTCGACTATCAACATTTTGCTAACCAAAATCAAACCACATATTAACAGAAGGTAATTATGGTTAAGCAAAGCTGGTGTAGTAGCGTGGGGTTTTAGGATTGGACCACTAATCGGAAAAAGTTTAAAGGTAAGCAGTTGGTTATGCTTTCTCCATCAACCCTCTCTTAATTGCACCTTTTAAGTTTTCCCTTTCTTAATTACAATTTTAATGCAGGAACCAAACCATCAGACATTCACGCCAACGCCAGTGACAAAAAAAAAAATAAAAAAAAAATCCCAAACAGTCGCCGCCTCGTAACAGAGGGAGTCACTATTCCATTACCACCACCACCAGCCAAGCGAGGAAGGTCAAGTTCTCGTAATACGCGGATGTCAACAAGGGCAGTTTCGTCATTCCGGCTAGGACACCTCCACTACCACCCCCACACTACTCCGCTGTACAGTGCCAAAATCCATGGTGTTTGTCTCTCAGGGGTCGTTTGGAGGTTGAGATTTGAAGTGAGGTATTTAGCAAATACATGTAATGATAAGATTAAGTCGTTTTTTTGGTTCACTTTGAGTTAGAATGCATGCATTACCTTTTTGTTGGGCCCACCTACAATCACTCAAAATGAATGATTATAAATCTCTACTAAAAGGTGAGATTGTTAATGAGGGATTGTCTACCCTACTTTTTGTTTCATCATTGCTCTTCCAAACAAAGTATTTTCCTAATACATGCATTGAATCAATACATCAAATGATAATACACTAATTGACCTAATACATCAATTTGAAGAATCACAATTTCCAAACGACCCCTCAGTGCACGGCGAGACGACGCCAGCGCAGCAGCAGCAGCAGCAGGCAAGAGACAGACTTCACCGAAATACCGGTCACTAAAACCCAATCTTCCCTCCCACTGCAAATGTGAGAGAGTGAGTGTCTTCTGTTCTCTTTCTCTTCTCTTTTCTTCTCCTTCCTCGTTTTCTCTCTGCTCTGTGCACTTCCCGCATACCTCCAAATTCCCATTTCACGAAGAGAGAGCAACGAAGGTGAGAGATGAACAGATTCATTCCTTTTTCTCAGCAGAACTCAACAACAATGCTTCCTCTCTCCTTCCTCCATGGATTTTGACGTTTCCCCTTCTCCCTCTCACCTCTTTCATCTTTACCCATCTCTGTATTACAATTAGAAATAATAATAAATAACAGCAGTGTTAAGAAAAAGCCGAGTTGAAAACTGTGCAGCCGTATTTGCATGGAGAGAAGATAAAAATCGTTTGTCCCACCACCACCAATTCCCTGAATTTCACCCTCGTTTGTTAAAAAAAAAAATGTTTTTGTGGCTCTTCCAATTTTCATTCATACTCCATTGCTTCCTGCCGGCAGGTAGCCTCTACTTCTCTTTCGCCTGATTCCGGCGACGGAGACATTAATGGTAGGAAAAGGGGTGAGAGCCAGAACTGTGAATGCTGGGTTTGCTTGCTTGTTTTTCTCTATGTTGAGATTTGATTTTCCGTTTCCTTCTTCCCAATGCCGAACGATGCATCTGCCTTTTTTTTCTTCTCTTTTCTGGGTTTTTGCTTTTTCCTTTTGGGTCTTTGCAGAGCCAGTCAAGAAGCGTAATGGTTAATTCACCCATTGCTGCTTTCTCTATTTGTTTTTCTCACAACTGCTTCTGCTTTCTTCCTACTGCTTTGTAGCAGCTGAAGCCAGAGCTTGGGCAAATCTGTTTCTGATCTCCCCGTCGTCGCGTGGATGCAGTTCCTGCCCATCTAACCCAGGCTGGAAGCCCTGGAATCGGTTCAGATCAAAATTACCTCATCTTCACTTCTCGTTGCCATCATGCGGTAGCGGGAGTTCAGGGAGCTTCTTAAAAATACCCAACTCCCAGCCGATTCTGTTAGACGTCAGTGGTAAGGGAAAACCCCCCACCTTCTTCTTCTTCTTTTGCCAATTCACTCGATTTGACAGACGTGTTTTAGAGCGGACTGTGAATTCGGCAGTAATAGTGAAATTTTGGTTGCACACGTTGTGTTTGATTGTGTGCGCCAGTGGATCTAAGATTGATGCTGGCCACAAGAGCAAACAGAGAATTTTTTTCACATCCTTGTGTTATTTCTTAGTGATCTCTTCTGTTTTTCCCCGGCACAGGATTAGATTCTATACCGGCGAGGAAGGATGTCTGCTTGGGGTAATTTTGGGGAGATTGCGAATGTGGCCCAGGTCACTGGTCTGGATGCAGTGCGGCTAATTGGGTTGATAGTCAAAGCCGCCAGCACAGCCAGGATGCACAAGAAGAACTGCAGACAGTTTGCTCAGCATCTCAAGTTGATTGGGGGCTTACTGGAGCAGCTTAAGATCACTGAGCTTAAGAAATATCCTGAAACAAGGGAGCCGCTGGAACAGCTTGAGGATTCACTGAGGAGATCGTACATTTTGGTGAATAGCTGTCAGGACAGAAGCTATCTCTACTTGCTTGCCATGGGTTGGAACATAGTTTACCAATTCAGGAAGGCGCAGAATGAGATTGATCGGTACTTGCGGTTGATTCCTCTCATCACACTCGTGGACAACACTCGAATCAGGGTAAACTCTTGTTCTTTGTTCTGGTTCATTGGTGGAGATCTGGTTTTATCAGTGCATTCACGTATCCGAGTTTTTTTTTCCCTTCCCCTTTTGGTTTTCTTATGTAGGAGAGACTTGAAGATATTGAGAGGGATCAGCGCGAGTACACATTGGATGAAGAGGATAGAAAGGTTCAAGATTTGATCTTGAAATCTGAGTCCGTCAAAGATCAAACTACCGTGTTGAAAAAAACTCTTTCTTGTTCGTACCCAAACATGTGTTTTAATGAAGCTCTGCAAAAGGAAAGTGAGATGCTACAAGTTGAGCTACAGAGATCACAAGCTAATATGGATGTGAACCAATGTGAGGTTATCCAACATCTGCTTGAAGTTACAGAAGTTGCAGCAGCAAATGTTGTGCCTGAAAGGAGTTCACCCAAGAAGGCTTCAAAGAAATCGGAGCCTGATTTCTCAGATATGAACGAGAAGGAACATACATTTGATGAGAGCTATCCAAGGAAAAGTGACTCTCGTACCACCTCAAGGTTAGACTTCTTCTAACGTAATTGCCTGTATTAGTTGGGGTTATTAGTCCAATGGATATCAGTGCTGAAGGTCAATGCTGCCAATCAGGTAAAATGTAATTTCCTTTGGAGTTTACAATTCCCTAGTTGGCAGAGATGACTCTGCTTGGTCTGGAGATTATTATTAGTTTGAATAATGGAGCTACTATCAAAAGGTGCCTTAACCAAAAGTTGCATAGGGGGAAAAAGACCAACGAATCTATTGTTTGCAGCCGCAAATTAATTTCAGAAATCTGAAACTGTTTTCTTTTGTGCAGAAACACGTCCTCAGTTTCTTCTAGGAAAGACTTGCTGTCCCGAAGAGGTTCCAGTCTGGATGAAGAATGGCACTCCGATTTGCTTGGTTGTTGTTCAGAACCTTTACTGTGTATGTCTTCCCAGTGACTTGTATTATAGTTTTGTTATACTCGCTCGATTTCATGTCCGAATTTCACCTCAGTTTGCATCTTAATTCTTTTAGTAATGTGAGTTCCTGGAGTCTTGTATATCCTTTTGCTATAAAGAACAACTTCCTGACCACATGTTGTGCATACCTGGTTCCTTTGAGAATTGTGCACTACATGTAATGTTGACTGGTAGAGGTTGCTTCATGAGCTCCAATTTTATCAAAAGGAAACTTTGAAAAACTGTTTGTGCCTTATATTCTCCTGTGAAGTATATCGTTGGGAGAAAAATTACACTTGATATGGTGTATAATCATCCTATTTTCAACTGCAGGTATGAAAACATTCTTTTACCCATGTGGCACATTCTCAAAGATAGCAACTGTAGCATCAGGCAATCACATGTGTAAGTGGCTAGCTAGGACTTTTGTAATGTTGCCATAACATTTGTATCTCTGCCCATTGCAGCAAAGAACTACAAATCCCAAAACCTAACGTGGGAATTTCTTTTTTATCATGTTGACTGCAGCATCAGCAGAAGCATGCAACGACCTGATGGCGTACTCATTAATTCTTTCATGTTGCTGTTACACCTGTTGTATTAGAAGGAAGCTCCGCAACTTGTTCAACATCTCTGTAATACCCCCTACAAGCTCTCCTCGTGATCCACACGAGTTAATCCTCGAGTTTTGGTGTAGGTTTGTGATTGAAAGAACGTGTACCCTTCTGACATTTAGGTTCCTTGTCTTCAGGGTGGTTTCATTGACGATTTTCTCTCACATTTGATGTGCTGCTGCTGTGCCCTTGTCCAAGAATGGCGAGAAGTTGAGGCTCGAGGTGCTTATGGTGTGTATTCCTTATGGACTTTTGTTTTCCAGCTTTCACAGCATTTTGAAGTTTTATGTGTAGGCTAAACATAACATACTGATCCTTTTGTAGATCCTCATAAGACAAAAATGAGGCCTCCACCCACGCAATCGATGGAATCCTAGGAGGGTATGGATTCTGCATTTGTTTGGTTGCTGCATCAAGGTGTCCATACAACCGTGAAAGCCAATATAACATAGGCAATGAATCGGCTGCTTGCCGCCATATACCTGGAGTTTTACCTTGGTTCTACTTCTGTTCATAATCCCTTTTTACATGCAGGATTGGCAGTTTGTAAAGTAGCTATAAGAACATTTTTAACCTCCAGCACATCATGTACCATATACTAGAAGTTGTTTGGAATCATATAGGGTTTGCCTCGATACATCTTGTTCCTTATTTGCTACTCGTGATTTAAATATCTTTTTGTGATAGTATTTGAAATGGTACACCCCGGTGAACTCATGCGGTTCCGACGTGCCCAACAAGGCAGTAGATAAGATAGAAGAAGGGGCCTATCTGCAGAAACTAGATTGCTGGCAGTTGGACAAGGCGCGATATCTTATCGGTCGCTCTTGGAAAATGGATATCTCCAGAAAAAAAAGTTCACTTCAATTTTTTTCCCCTCTCCACTCGAATCAATCCGCCTACTCGGCTTCTTGTATTTAAAGTAATTTGTGTATATAGTATATACTCCAATGGAAACAATGGAAGAGTTTGAAATGATTTTGCCTATGAGATGGATGCTCACATCCAACTCACTAGTTATTTCGATGATGAATGGAGGTGGGATGACCCCAAATATGCACCAAAATGCAGTGACCATAGTGAGAATAATTTGCCTCCAATGCTTGAAGCATTGATTTGAAATAGAGAATCCTTTGCACTCAAATGAGAATGTACATATAGAGTCAAGGGCTGACTAAAGTCAATGAGAATGTATATCGTTTGGATGGATCAATTGTAAAACGAGACAATTTGACCAATTGTTTCATTTTACAAAAACGAGTCATTTAAAACGAGTCAATTCAGATTTACCTGCCCCCCCCCCCCCAGACAATTGTAATTGACTCAAAATAAGTCAATTCAGAATTCCCCAGCCAAATTGCCCCATCCATATTTTCTGCTGCCAAACGGATCAATCTGACAATTATGTCAGATTGATCCATTGGAATTCCTCCTCCAAACGACCCAGGGTTAAGGGCTAACTGAAATAATGGTTGGGGCACTAAAAACATTTCAACGATGTAGTTGATAATAAGGTTGTTCTGGTTAACCACGATAGATTTATCACTTTTTTTTTACAAAAGATAATAATATATTGATTGAAAAAAGATAGTTACATCCTGGAATTCAGTCAGGCCTGAAAATCAACGAAACGACTCATTATCGGGTACAAAGACAGAGCCTTTCTAGTCACCACATAAGCTACCCCTATTGCTACTCTGACCTACAAATCGCAGACTGCACCCCACGTTCAAAACAAAAATATGCACAATCTCTTCCAGAATAGTCCCCACTTGAATTAGGTTTATCACATTGTCAATCGAACTACTCACAAATTAAATTAAATTTTCCACTTCTAGTTTTTGAAAATATCGATGGTTAGTTTTGCAGAGTTTTATCTAGTTTGATGATAAATAACTCGATCATAGACATTGGAAACTTTAGATGCATAAAGTAGAGATGGCAACGGATCAGGTCCGGGCAGATAGTGTATATCTGTTACCCTATTCTAGGGCCGCAAACGAGCCGAGTCATGTCGAGTTTTTTCTTAGCTTGAGCTCGGCTCGTTTACAAAAAATTTAGTTCGAGCCGAATTTTGATAATCCAGCTCGAACTCGACTCGGTAGAGCTCGATAAATGCTCATTAACACAACTTGTCAATCTGAGTATAAGTTCGGCTCTAGATGAGCTCAATTTGAAATCATTCTTGCTAAAAAATGTGTACACATAAGAATTTAAATGATAAAAAGAATACTAGAAACTAAAAATAATAACTAACTTCCATACAATTCATGTTAACAAGATAATGTTCATGTTCAGAAGAGTAATTTATCCATCCACAAGCTCTAACCAAGTTAGCTTGGGAGTTTAGCTCAACAAGCCACCGAGTCAAGCTAGCTTACGAGCATATCAAGTTGAGCATGGTCTAGCTCAAGCTTGGCTTGTTTACTAACGAATCGGCTCGTGAGCCGGCTTGTTAACTAACGAGCCGAGGGTCGAATGAGTTTTTCCCGATTCGAACGCCGAGTTGCTCGCAAACAGCTTGGCTCATTTGCAGCCCTACCCTACCCAAAGTAGTATGGTTTTACCCATACTCATACCCACATAAGAAATGAGAAGAAAATCAAAACCATGTCCATACCCGTTCGGGCTTCGGGTATCCATGGTTATCCAAGGATAAGAATTTCTCTTTATAACTCCAACCAATATGTTAACATTCACACGCATTCTCACATTACATAAGAGGAAAAGTACGACAATAATTCACTAGGAAAAAAAAGAAAATCAATTAAAACAACACTATTTCATGAAAATATTATATTTATATGTTAAATATAAAATATGTTTGAGAAAAATAATAATTATTTCTAGACAAAATACATATGCATGTGTATAATCGGGCGAGTTCAGGTTGGATAGAGAGAAAAAAAGGCCCACCCATTGCCCGCAATATTCGGATTTGTGTTTTACTCGTACCTGTCAAGAACTAGTTGATCCCAATGACTCGAGTTATTGGGACCAACTGGTTTTTGACATGGTATCAGAGCTGGTTTGGCCAAGTGGTCGTGTGTTCGAATCTGCATGACCCCCAATATTAACAGTTGATTAAAGCACATGGTATGATGGGCTTGTGCAAACTTCAAGCTCATAGGTTGGCTTTCGTTTGAGGGGGCGTGTTAGAGAGTGGTATAAGATCCAACATAACCTTCTAACAACTCGAGTTATTGGGACCAACTGGTTATTGACAGTACCCACTAAAAGTCCTTCAGGTTCGAGTTTTACCATACCCAATTAGGTCGGATTCGGGCGAATATCCACAATTTCGGATATTTTTACCCTCCCTAGCAGAAAAGCATGAACAAAATAATAATGATATTGAAGAAACATGGAGATGAATGAAGGATTTGGGACTTTAATTACTAAAACTTGATAACGTGAAAATGCTATCCATACAAAGCTTACATCAACTATTTTTTATTGTTAAATCAAACTATATTAAGTACAGGTCAACCCAAAAAAAACTAGGCCGCCTTTTCCAATTGTTTACAAACCATTACAGGAAAAAATCCCACTGTACACATGTTTTTAAAAAAAATTCTCAAAATACACATGTTATGAAAAAAATTCCCAATCTACGCATGTTTGGGCCTTCACCGCGTCTGACAAAGGCGGTGATTGAATCACCACGTTAGACGAAAACGGTGATTGCATCACCGCCTTAGACAAAAACGGTGATTGCATCACCGCTGTAGAGAAACGCGGTGAATGCATCACCGCGTTAGAGGAAAACGGTGAAGGCCTGGTGAAGGCCTGACCTACGTCAAATCTTTAAAAAAACGTAACTTTTTGCTCGGTTATCCGATCGTGATGAAATTTTTTTTGATTCCGCATAATTTTTCGAGATCTCGAAAATCTATGTGGAATCAAAAAAAATTTCACCACGATCGGATAACCGAGCACAAAGTTACGTTTTTTTAAAGATTCGACGCAGGTCAGGCCTTCACCGCGGCCGTCGAACGCGGTGAAGCTATCACCGTTTTTGTCTACAGCGGTGATGCAATCACCGTTTTTCTCTAACGCGGTGATTGCATCACCGCCCTTGTTTAACGCGGTGAAGCAATCACCGCCTTAGTCTGACGCGGTGAAGACCCAAACATGCGTAGTTTGGGAATTTTTTTCATAACATGTGTATTTTGAGAATTTTTTTTAAAAACATGTGTACAGTGGGAAATTTTCCACCATTACAAGGTACTTGCTTTCCCACTACGAGGAATTTTACTCATTGGTACATTTATTTTTAGTACAACTTGAAATTTGTTATGAAACTAATGTGATATAAATAACTACAAGATAAGATTAGAGAAGGAAAGACACAAAGAAGATAGGGGGAAGTGAGCTTTCTCATTTTTTATACAATAATATGCTCTATTTATAGGCACACTTTGGTAACCACTACATCCTTATATCAATGCATATGAATGAGAGATAATAATGTATGAATAGGGGTTACATGTAACTCCCAAGTGAGCATCTAATGTGGTAGGTCATTGGTCATCCATATATCAATATTTACATAATACTCCCCCTTGGATGACCATTAGATTGTATTACGCTATCTCATACTGCCTCGTTAAAAACCTTACCAGGAAAACCCATTGGGAAAAAACCATGGTTAAGGGAAAAAGAGTGCAGTGCGTATATGCTCCCTCTCATGACCACATCACTTCAGATTATTGAGTCGTTGAACTCAAATTTCACGAACAACTTTTAGAAAGATTGTTGTCGGGAGTGAGTTAGTGAACAATCTTCTAGATTGTCAATTTGATGCATGATCTTTAGATTTTCTTCATACATGATCGTCAGGATCATTTCCTTTGGAAATAGTTCACAACCACAAAAACTTGAGATATGGTGGATCACAAAGTGTAATGAAAGGCATTCAGGACTTGCCCATTATAGTTTGTTTTGTTTCTTTATGAAACATTTATATCACCATATGTAAGAGATAGCTCGTCTCCGATCAGCCAATATGAGGATCAAATGGTATTATAGGATATGAATATATAGTTCACCAAATATCTCTTTGATAATACCATAATAGAACAATCGCACATATTGTTCCCGGAGGTAACTAAGTATTTTCCAACGTTCCAACGAGGGAAACATTGTATCTTGCTAATATTATCAACACCAAAATGATAGTTTATATGGTGCTTGGCTAGCAAGGTGCATTGGTGCTCTGATGCATCAACATATGGTACTTCAGGACCTAATGTTTCACTTCTTTCTTGATTTCTTAATGGATCTTTGGTCACTTCTAGTGATCTTAGGATCCTAATGTTATTTGATGAACACAATTCGTTCATGCAAAATTACTTTTCCACTTTTTCAACATTACCTTCCTTGCCCATAAAAAGGATCTTAAATCCTTCAATTTAACTTATGTCTCTAAGCAATCAACTGCTTTAGTAAGCTCTTCAGGAGATCCAATAATAGTCATATCATCAACATAATATGAGATCGTCACAAAAAAAACTTAACTAACACAAATTGATGCAAGCAATTCTTTCATATCACGAAAGATATTAACAAAACACACATCATAGAAACATATGAACTAGACAAAGCACACTCATAAAACACAACTCATACTTTAAAGTAAATCACAACTCATAAATCAAGAATTTAACATCC